GTCTTTTTGAAAAAAAAAAAAAATATTTATGCCAACGTTTCAACCCAAACATGTGGGTCATCTTCAGGGCTGATTTTTTAAAAAAAAATACAATCAGAGATATAATATTATACGATCGACAATGTTAAATAATCAGCTATAGCGATTGACGGTACATAAACCTTAAGTAATATTGCAACAGACATATTAAAAATTAAATATGTAAATAGTTATACAAAATAAAAATTGAAAACTAATATATATAATCCATTTATACAAATATGTAATATTTTTTCTGACTAACCGTGGTGTGAGCACTGAGGATGTTCAAGTACTGACACATTTGGTAGGTAAGTGAAAAGGTTAGGGGGGAAGGATTTCCCAGTTGTCCTTTTCCAGATAGCAAAAGATAGATTAACATTGTCAGAGGGGAAGGGAGGTAACATTTCTGTTTGTAGAATGTAAATAGTTTGTTGACTAAATATTACAGATGTGTACACTATTTGCGTTGTTTCTTATGGTTACAGAAATGTGACTATTGGCAAGTAATGAAATGAACATAAGCAGGGGGTGGCGATCAATATAAATCAATTATCACCCATGACATGTAGAACAGTCGAATAACTTCTTTCAATATTGTTACTACTACTTGAAGTGGGGTTCTAGTGATTACTATATCTCTGCGGTATATAAAAAGGAAAGAACTGGAAAATTAAACTGCTTCTTGACGTACCCCACAAATGGATTCGAAAGGTTATGCTTTCATATTTCTTATTTTCGCTGTTAAACTATTGTGTGAGTATTGGACGGTTAATCCTTATTTACTTTTATGAATAGTTTAAGCTAACGGCCATCATATAAAAACTGCATCGAATTTACTCAATTCCACTTCATCATAATACAGAGTTAATTAAGAAGATTGCCAACGAGGCTTTATTAATTGCTATTTATTTTCTATCTGCATTAACGTTTTGCCCTGATGACTCGAAAACCGCAGCGGCCTAACTAATAGCGGACCGAAGATGAGTTTAACCGGACTAATTGCCCGAAGAGAGGCGATTGAACGGCGCTATGAGGTCTAGTTGTCGGGCGTGTTGTTGTGCTACTGAGCAGGCAGTGTGGCTGTCATGCTTTCATGAGCGCTCATCTCTTCTATAATAACCACTTTCTTCCAGGATTTTTTTCAGCTAATGAAAGTGATTTAAATTTCATTTCCTGTTTTACAGCATATGTATATATATATTGCTATTGCATTATATTGCCATTTCAGATCCTTCCTGCTGTTCCACAAATCAAATTAGTATGTACCAGGAATTGATTGAGGAACTGATTTTAGAAGGCACAGATGTCGTTCTACAGTGGATACCAGGACACTGTGGTTCAACAGGTAATGAAAATGCTGACCGATTAGCAAAAGAAGGTTCCGAAAAAGATCAACCAGATATGCCAATCCCTTTCTTGACGGCAAAGAAGCTAATAGAAACAGTAATCATAGAAGAACTGGAACAGAAACGGCAGTTGGAGTTAAAAGAGAAACAATGGGTTTCATTACTAGATGAAAATGAAAGAGTACCAGTGGATCTCCCTAGAAGTGAGGCACAGTTTAGGATGAAAACCGGACATGACTATCTCCAAAGCCATCTATACCGTATTGGAGTTGTCGAATCAGCAATATGCCCACTGTATCGACAGGGATTCATGACTGCTCTGCATCTACTCACTTGTTCCGGACTACAGGACATTACAAACATAGCCAGGACACAAGGTGAAATTTACTGGGCTGCTAGACGTCGCATGGCTGAAAGAGCTCAAGACGATCAAGATAAAAAAAAAATCTAATTAATTAAAAAAGACTAATATATATAAGATATAATATAAGACTCTAATAAGTCCTATTTCTAAGTACGGAGTTAATCTTTGGGGTAGCAATAAACCATCGAATTCCTTTCATATTCAATTTTACTATCCGCAATTCTTTATAAAATCCTCAAAGCTCCTTACTCTGTCACAAATAAAATAATCCATAAAGACCTTAATGTTCCATATTTTTCCGTTATGGCACAATCCAAATAACTATCCTTCTATAATAAACTTCATAACCTTCCGAATCCTCTCGTTTCTAGTCTTGCTTCTTCTTCTATCCTTGATAACACTCAGGGGCGTCTGAAAAGAAGATGGCCTCCGTGATCTCCTAATTTAGAAATTTTATTAAAGTGCTACCAATGGGTGGTTTCTCTACAAGTATTCTTCTCGTGTTATTGTGTTAATATCTATCACATTTACTAAATGTAAATTTGTTTCATACCGTTGTCAACTTCATAAACAAATAAATAAATAAAAAATTATTCCTAATTATTAGATTATGCAATGGACTTATTAAAACCAGAGGAGAGCTCCATCACCGAGAACATTGACTTAAAATCCATAAAAAGTAGAAACTTCAATACACTATGCAATACTTTTTAGAAGCAAAACGAATATCATAATATATAAATACTAGCTGATGTACCCGTCGTTGACGGGTGTATAGTTAAAATTTAAGAATCTTTTTTAAGATGGATTTTGTATTATGGGGGGAGAAGGGTCCAAATTCAATTTCATAAAATCGGGTCGGGCGGAGGGAGGGGGTTGTTTTGAATTTTTTTATGGCGGGGCTTATGGAAGTCAGGGTTTCGCAACAGTCATAACAAAAACTTTGTTATTCGGCTATTTGTTTAGGTACCACACAACTAAACCGACCACCACGAATCCATTAAAATTTGTTAAGTGTTTAATTTTATTTAATGATGGAGCGAGAAGATTGTGGACTCGATTAATTAATCAAAAAGAGTTGCAGTCTCTTCACTTCTTTAAACTCTGCTGAGTTGTGATAATTTTTTCCATCAGTTGAGTATAACAACTTTTAAATGTTTCTCGCGGTAGAGTAGGTTGGGATTAGAACCGAAGTAACTTCCTAACTGGGATCTCTATACAAATTACTCAAGAATTTTTAACTTAGGTTCTACTCAATATTTTGTTTTCATTTAAAGCTTATATTTTAAGTCAAGCAAATATAAATGTAATGTAAAAATTTCAATAAAAAAATTCAAAGCTGAGCTTACCCCTGACAAAATTTCCTTGGACAATGCGGACATCCAGACAAACAAAATTTTTTTTAAAAGTGGATTTGGTATCTGTTATGTATAAAAATGAAAGGTATCATGAAACGGGTTGCTTCTATTCAATGTACAGACAAAACGTTTATTTTATTTATATAGATGTTTTTTAACCTATGAAAAAATGTTTATTATCAACATTAACCGATATCTCTAGACAAATTACTTAAGAATTCATAACTTTAGTTATACTCAATATTTTGTTTTCATTGAAAGCCTATGTTTTAAGTTAAGCAAACCTTAATATAATGTCCAAATATCAAAAACCGACAATAAGCCATTGCTGAGCTTACCCCTGGCAAAATTTCATTGCTATGCGGACATACAAACAGACAAAATTTTTTTTAAAAGTGGGTCTGGTGTCTGCAATGTATGAAACGAAAAGATGTCACAAAAAGGGTTGATTCTATTCAATGTACAGGCAAAATTTTTATCTTATTTATTTAGATTATGATACAATGGTATAATGTAGCAGAAAGTTATTTAAAACTCAAGACAAATATATAAATATAGGGGATTAAAGAAAAACTATTTTTGCTGTTTGTTTTAAAACGTGTGTGGCTTTTCCGAACAGTATTTTTAACATTTCAAATACGGATAACTTCAAAACACATTGTTTACAAAGTAGTAACTTGATTGCAAATAACTCTACATGACAATTACATCGAAACTTTGCTAAAAACACAGAAAACTGTGGAATGATTAAGTATCTTATGGTTCTATAGTAACATTTAAGTGAGATATAGTCGCTAGCAGCCATATAGATCGCCCAGCCATAAAACAAAGTCCACAACTTCGACCTCAGCAGCACTAAATCTTGTAGTCCCAAAATGTTTGACGCAAGTTAGTGGACATTGCAGTTGCGAGTTAGAAATCAACGATAACAATTAAACTCCAGGCATTATATATTTGTATACTGAGGCCATAAAATTAATGAAGCATGATAATGTGGTTAGGTACAAATCAGTAAGAAGCAGGGTGGCCGAATGGACTCACTCATTTGCATAGTACCGCGTGTTGTTACCCAGCAACCTGATAACCGAAGTTATAGAAGATAAAATAAATAAGAGTTCGCGTTCAAATACCTAAGGGGTGAGGCTTTTAAATCTCGTATTGATCTCTCGCCCTTAATAATAATAATAATAATTAATAATTAAATTCTTAATTAATTAATGAAAATTCTTATTGCAGTATAAACAGTCGGCAGTAATAAGGAACTAATAATATAGGAATGTATATGAACATAAAAAAAAGTAGACAAAAAGAGGCGTTGGATATTATTTAAAGCCATAACATAAACAATAGATATCTTCAGTTTGAGTCACCTTTGAAAATCATGACACTAGATTGTTTTCAATTTAATTAATTTATTAAATTCAAAATTTCCCTTTCTCTCCCATGATCAGGTATAACACATTTATCTGATATAAAAATCTGAACATCATTTTCTTCGATTGCATAGCTTCGATTGCTTTTGTTTTGTAATTGTTAAAAAGTTATTGAAAAATTAGCTTAATTTTCTGACTATGAAACCACAATATTTTTTTCGTTAAGACAAGTAATTATCAAATATATTGTTTTTTCATTACAAATGTCTAATTATAAATTATATTTTAAAAGAAAAAAAATTCTATCGATTTCATCAGCATTCCTGATCTTTTTTTTAAAAAAGCTCCTAAAACGTTCACAACAAAAGAATGGAAGAACAACAAAAGAATAGATGAACCGCTTTAGTGCAAACGAAAAGGAAACTTAACAAAGTATAAGCGATTTTAAGGGAAACAGAAAGGACACAATAGAAAATTGACTGGCTAAGAAAAACATTTAAAATGAATCCCATTTCTTTTAATATTTTTTCTTCTTTTATTACCACATTACCTCAGCTCTAATCCTAAACACAAATAATAAAAAACTTCAAAAATATCCTTTTTCCGCTCCATTCAGCCCTCAAGAGAAATTAGCCATTGAATTATTTTTTTTAAAAACAGTACAATTTAACCATCCAACTTTTTAAAAATCGACCAATATTTAATATAAAAAGTATTGTGATCGTAACTGAGTTTTAAACATTTTCAAATAAAGCCTACGTTGTTATAGCAACTCTTTAATCTCCCAGACGTGCAACTTTATTTTACAATGTACAGTTCTAGAAATTTTGTTTAATTCGATACATCAGTGTAAAATTAAATATTCTTTAATAACATATATTTCTTATCCTCACTGAAGTAGTCTAAATAGGGCTTAAATGCCAACGTTTTAGAATTACATTCTCTTAAATAGCTTGAATATGGTTTATTTGAAATAAAAACAGTCTCTCATTGTTAGGAGTAGCGGACGTTTAACTGAAATGGTTAAGTACAATCGTAGGGTATGAAATAATTTTATAACTGGTAAAAAGATACAAATCTTTTTCTAAGTTGAAAACAAAGTCCTAGACATAATAGGATTAATTATATAGGTGTGTGTGTGTGTGTGTGTGTGTGAATAAACGACATCTAAAAATATATAATGTACCTAATTTTCGTTCTGATGTCGTTTAAAAACTATTCGCCCTTTTTTTTTTTTATTTTACTTTTTATTATTATTTTTAGAAATTATCATTAATTTAATTTTTTTTTATACATTACATAATGACAAGTTATATGCATTGAAATCATTCAGTTCAAATCTCTGTTTCATTAAAAGAATTCGGTAAAAGCTAAATGCAGAGTTATAAAATTTGTTTCAAGCTTAAAATATACGCCTTTATATGAATAATTCATCGAATCAGGTCACTTCAATAGTTCAAAACTATTTTTATAGTACTTCTGTTAGAGAAAACATTATGCAGTACAAAATGACTAAAATTATTTCATGCAGTGTTTACGACCAAAAATAACACGAGTGTTTGTTTTTTTTTCGTTTTTTTTTTTTCTGGATTATTTGTTTATTAATAAATATTACAATCTGTCTCAATAAAGGACAATTATAATAGAGTTCTGAGAGCACATTCACACCATATTTACAGATTCAAAATAAATAAATAAATAAATATGGTAATTTCAAAATAATATAAAGCTAAATAAGAACAAAATAAAATATCATAGTGAAGGAAGAAAATATAAAAAATAGTAATAATAGAATTAAAATAAATGAATAAAATAGAATTAAAATCATCTTAAAAAAAAAGTGATGAAAATAAACATCTTAGACGCAGGCATCACGAGTTTATAATCTTAAATAATTTTTACTATTATTTAATAACTTTAGACCTTAAAATACATCAAAATTTATTACGAAAAGTTATTAATTAACATTTTAGTAAATCAAACCAGTGATCAATTTCCCCTTGTTTAAATCAAAGCACTAAGCACAATTAGTGTACTACCTGCGTTTACAATTAGTCTACATATTGTTCCTACATTTGAAATTTAATATCGTTTATGTTTTCTTGATATAACTAATCGATTTTTTCATTAATAAATGTGACCGAAATTTTCACAAATGTATTCTTTAAATTTTAACAACATTAAAAATGCACTTCAAAGACTTTTCGTAATAGTCTAATTTTAGTTGGAACTAATTTCTACACAAAGTAGAGTGATAAGTTTTGTGATGTCGGCATAACATTATTACAGATAGAAATACTGTATATACTTACTTTTCAGCTGGAGAAATAGTTGTCTCCTGATTCCTCCTCTTTTGTTTTCTTCTGTGCTTCCTCCTCGACTGTGATGTCGTTGAAGATGGTGCTATGGTTGTAGTAGGGTCTTCGGTTGTGTTAGTAATGGATACTCTGTTGAATCGGGTTATTTGATCCGAGACTCCAGATTCACCTCTGATCGGTTGTCGGTGCCTTCTTTTCTGACCGAAGGCCCCGCTCTCTTCTTGACGGAATTTGCTCTTGTCTTCATAATTTTCCATTGAGGAAATTTCTTCCTGATGCCCTCCTCCCGTATTTTTCTGGTACACGTTATGAGAATTTTGTTGCCAATGGTCACCATGTCGTTGTGGTGTGGATGTGTACTGAGGATATGGCTGAATAAAACTTTCTTGAATCTGATGCGCATCCTGAGTTTTTAGTTGAGCAGCTTTTGACTTTTGATAATATTGATGGTTAGGAATATACTGCTGATAATTTGTATTAGAAATTGGTTGTAGATTTTCTGTCTGCACCATTGCATTTGGTTGGCGATGGTATACTTGCCTTACATTAGCAGAAGGTTGATCTCCTTGGGTTTGTGGAGAGCTTTTCTCAGCTGAAATCTGGGATTTAAGCAGGTCATTGTAGTGTGATGTACCCTGCTCCTGCTGATTTGTTGGTTTTCGCTCATTGTACTGCTGAAGATGTGGATAATGGCTGGTGCGTTGGTGGTTCTCAGAGTGTGGTATTCGATATTTATAACTAATTTGGCTATGACTGGGAATCAAAGGCTTAAAACTTCCTTCTAATTGTTCAGAAGAATGAAAATATTTCTCATCTTGTTGGCCATATTTCTGTGGCTGCAATGTATCTTTGCTGTCATCAGTGACATATTGAGGAGACAACAAAAAGTTTTGAGAGCTATACGGTTTTTGGTTTTTAAACTGATCTTCAGTCACCTTTGAGCCTTGTTCCTCCTGAATAGAAAATGAAGGCGCCTGGTTATACGACATATACTGAGTATCTTCAGTTTTCAACCACTGTTGGTCTGGATTTTTTTTAATTATGTACTTATCTCCGCTCTTCACCCAGTTGATGGTTGGTGCGGATTGATCTTTTTTCTGCACCTGAAAATTATCTGATTCATTTTGTATTATGTATTGGCCATGACCGTTCGTCCATTTCTTGCCAGGTTCATCCTGATCATGAAAGTGATGATGATTTTGAATTGACCATTGATGAGAAACTTCCTTTTGACTTTCTTGTTTTCCTTGGTGTTTCGATATATCTTCGACAGGTTCTGTTTGAACTACATATTGTTCGCTATTGGTTACCCATTTTTTAGTAGGCTCATTTTGACTTGTGTATGGTGTATTTGACTGTTGTGAAGATACCCATTTCATATCCGATTCACTATGATCAGTTATAGTTTTGTAAAAATCCTTCGGGTAGCCTTTACTATCTAACCACTGATGAGATAATTCCTTCCCGTCTTTCTGCTGTGTTTCAACTTCAGTAATTCCGATACTTGAAGTCAGAGCCTCCGGTTTTATAACGTGCCCAGAGTCAATATTGTAAAACTGATAAGTTTTTGAGCTTGGAACTTTAAATGACTGCTTTAATGGGTGTTCGTTTAAAAAAGATTGCTCAAACGGAATTTGTTTAAAAGTCGTCTCATCTTCTAGTGCCGGAGATGGGACGAAATTGTTGTTTTTTAGCAAAAAGTATTTAGCTATATCTTGGGTATTCTTTAAGTTTTGAATAGGAAATTTTACTTCACCAGTTTCGAAATTATCTTTCTCGGCTTTCAATAACTTGTCGTCAGATATAGTCTTAATGTCAGTTATTCTGAAGCGTGGGACCCATTCCGAACCATTGAAGCTAGTCCACTTTTGAGATTCTTCAGGGATCACTATAGGTTTCAAAACAGTTTTGCTTTCTGATGACCAACTATTTGGGCTTTCTGTCACCAAGGAAGAAGGTTTGTGCACATCTTCAAATGCAAACTGATTTTTTAAGGTCTCCTGGATAAAGTTATTGGCATTGAGTTGTTTCAAAAGCGATTCCTTCTCGAATTCTGACAAAGGAGACTGCTCCTTGTTCATAGCAAGTTTAAGATGAGATGTTACCTCATGCGGGAGTGACATGTAAGATGAAGGCTGTTTACTTTCTGTTTCTGTTCCATCGCCTAAATTCACTGGGAGTATCACTTGTTTCTCAACACTTACTGTGACAGGGCTTTCTTCAGAAGTTTTAAAGTCTATTGGAATTTTAGTTTCTAAAGATGTCGGCAGTTGATGAAGATATAATGGCTTTTCAATCCTATAAGGATGCGATAGTTGTTTTTCAAAATGGTATTGTTGCTGAACTGGCAATTTAACGTACGGCACATGCTTCGGCACTTCGACGACGTACGGTTTTGGTACATACACCATGTAGGGCCTCCTGAACGGTGGCTTTACAGGATACTGCATCCTCTCATGGTAGGCCGGCTGTATCTTCCTCGCGTAGTAGTACATCCTAGGAGAGAACTCTTGCTGGTAATACTCGATGGAAGAGATGGCTGGGAGGCAGGCGAGGAGTAGACATGCTGCTAACATTGTGAGCCAGAGGAGAGTGACCAGGACCGGAACCGGAGGCCGCTTTTGTAAGGCGCGTTGCAGTTGGCTTGATGGAAAGTGAATTGAAGAAAGTTCTCACCGTGATAGCTGTGGGTCAAGCGTCATCTAACATCGGAATGTAGGGCGGTCAATATTAGATGCCCTCACCATCGGAAATTTCTCTCTAATTGGCAGCTCAGGTTTTCTGAATATCTTACTCGCTCCGCTTATTCGCTTCACGTGACTTGGATCAATAATGTAGCATTCTATGACAAAAAAACCTCCGGCAAATAAAATGTTTGATATAGTCATTAGTGATTACGAGGCGAATAACTGTTTACTTGATTAATTAAGCAATTATCAGTGCCATACTGTATCAGCAATTATAGCTGGCTGTCTTTGACTAATTAATTATTTTGTAAATGAATGATGCAGAGTGTAGCTTAAGAAATCTAAAATTATATTTTATTCCATTATTTTCCTTTCACGGGTCAATTTTATTAATTTAACCACAAACGGATCCAGGATTTAATTTTTTGGAAGGGGGCTTCAGCCCGAAACATTTTTTTTTTTTTTTTTTGTATAAATATATTAGGATAATGAATTCGGAAGAAAGAAAGAAACTACCTATATGAAATGGTCTTTAAGTGATTGTTGAAGTCCTATTAACTGTAATTAGACGAACAATAATACTTTTAAAGATAATTTTTTTCAAAAGAGAAGGTTATATTTTACCATTTTTTAGTCCAAAAAACGAAATTCTCCCTCCCCCCCCCCACCTAGACCCGCAATTCACTATCATTTCATGTTCATAAATTAAATACATTATTTTCAAAGAATATTATTAGATAGATTAATAATACAACCCCAAATTACATGAACTCATTTAAAATAATCTTTATTGAACAATAATTATACAATCGGCCAAAATCAAGTACAATGTATATTAGCACTTTATGTACACATTCATACCATTTATGGATTTGTTTACAAGTTAAAATAAAAAAATGTTAAAAAATAACAATAATATTTTACCATTTTTTTTAAACGTTGATCTTTATTTTTAATTTTTATTGACACTTAGGTGTATGCCTTAAAGTCAAATGTAATCAAAATCAAAATTACCTTTCGACAGTTATTTATTGAACGTTTCGGGGAATCTGTGTCTCCTTCTTCAGCAATATAAAAAATACAACCAACATATGTTAGGCTCAAAGTAGAAACCAGCCATTATTAAATAAAATACATAACGCATAAATCATTTTTTTAAATAAATATAAATTTATATTAATTTAAATATATATATATATTTAGTATACATTTTATTAAACAAAAAACTGTTATGTATTTTAGTTAATAATGATTAGTTTCTACATTGATTCTATATAGGACACAGATTCCTCGAAACGGTCTATAAATATCATCTATAAATATATCTATAACGTTCTAATAAATATAATAAATTTAAATAAATTTAATGAATAAATCTAATAAATCTATAACGTTCTATAAATATCAAAAGCTAATTAAATTATCATACTTTGATAATAAACATAAAATAAAAATATATAAGTAATTTCTAAACAATTATAGTATGATATATATGTATATATATATTTATATATATATGTACTATATATATATAAATATATATATATATATATATATATATATATATATATATATATATATATATATATATATATATATAATATATATATATTCAATAATTTCTGTTCAAAGAAGAGGAATAAGTGAAAGTTGTGTGATGCCGGTAATAGCTTTTTTATTATGGAGATATCTAACGAATTGCACGATATTTATTTAGAATAAGCTTATTGATAACAATCGTATTGATATATCACTATATAATTTTAGGCATACACGCAAAGAGGACAAAGACATCAGTTAAGCTAATGATATATACACGAAAGGTACTTACGACAAGAACGCACTTAGAATTATGACAAATGTTTTTGAATAAATATTTAATAATTCCCTTACTAAATATATTCATTAGGCATGTTGTTGTAAATCTTTGTAATCTGCCAGGAAAAATAAATATTAAAATTTCTAAAATATTTAATTCTCAAACGAAAAATGATAAGCTATGAAATATTGGTAATTTTGCAACAAATGATAATGGCCATGAAAATAGCCTATACCTTATTGGGCAGATTTTAAAAAAAAATTGACTAGAGAAATATTGTTGATTAATTAAATTTCGTAAATTTGGGAATAAATGAAGTGTTTTAATATCAGAATTCAACTCTTTAAAGTGCTAACAGGTCCCCAGTTAATTAAGTTCATAAAGGATTGCGAGTTTATATACCATTGAGGTCGCGGTTGTTATCCAAGCCAATCTACGTCCTATGGAACTTTTTTTTATTATTTCAACTAAAACATTTTACTTTAGGCTACTAACATGTTTCCTTTTTTTCATTGAATAAATTTACCAGGCCGTAAAGGGTGTGGAAAGAGGAATTTTGTTATAAAATTTTAAATATAATAAATCGCAAATTTTAGCTTTTTAAATTATTAAATGTAATTTTATTACTTATTATTAAAAAAACGTCTGCCAAGCAAGGCCTGCATAGCTCCCTCTCCAATTTTGTCGGTTACAATAAATCTTATTTTTTGAAGAAGGATTAATAAAAAAAAATACTTCACCTCTTATTTTTAATAAATATTTCGAAATGCAGTCAAAATATTTCTAACACAATGAGTAAAATTGAAAGTGACAATGGTATATGTGGAGTTTTGCAATTTTAAAATAGAAAATTACATTCAATCTTAAAGCAGGGTCAACTTAACATAGGTACAAAACTTATAAATTTATAAAACCATAGTATAAATTTAACCTCCATTTCAATATGTTTAATGTATATTACGTTTCACAGCCATTGTTTTGTTAAAAATTAGTAACATTAATTTTTATTGTTTAATCAAATCGATGAAATTTACAGTAGAGTATTTTAACACAATTCTGCAAAACGTACGGTAACCATACGTTAGCATTTCCGGAAACATTAGTATAATATAAAATTGAAAGTAGTTGATGAACTTTGATTGAATTCTGATTATTCATATTGACAGCTTTAACACCCTTCCGAATTTTAGCCAAACCGAACGTGCGGTTTTTGAGATATAGGTCTTAAGAAAAATTCGCTAGCGTATATGTGAGAGGAAGTAGCAGATGAAATTCGATAAAATAGATCCATCATTATTTTGTCACTATTTTAAAATTAGTTTTTACAGTCTGGAACTATGTTTTTTAACAATGGAGGCGTATTGTACAAGAATACGCAACAATTACATGGCCGCAGCACATATGCAAAGTTCGTAGGAGGTTCAAGAGGAGCTGGATGAGAGATCTTAACTAACAATTAACATAAATATCACACCAGAAGGAGGTGTCGCTGGGTAGTACCCCTTCCCCCTCACGCCACTAACGCCATTTTTTTTTATATCAACATCAAAATCTTTGATTGTTGATATTTTTATTTATGAGATTTTATTAAGGGTGAATAAAAATAACAGGATAAAAAACAGGCTTCTAAAAAACTATATGAAAACCTATGCTATTATCACACATAAAATGTTATTGCATTAATGAGTTACAGAGTTACGAATTTACTTATAATTGAAGAGAAGAATGGTTGGGGTGATCTGTCAAAATAAAAGAATAGCAAAAATAAATAATAATGTTTATTGTTTCATGTGCCGACGTTTCGGACCGAAGTTCAGGCCTTCATCGGGGCTAAGAAAAGAACCAGATAATAACAGATATGAGAAACTATAAACATTGAATAATAAAAAAGTGAAAGGAATAGACTAAAATGAAATAGATAGAGTGTACATTAAAGTAAAATAAATTAGGTAGCATAATAACAATAACAGAGAACTAAGAAATAAATAATAGTAACGGCAACAAAGTAAGGACTAATGAAATAAACATAGTCAAAATAAGGTAACACAAGGAATGAAAAAAAAATATGAATATAGTTATAGTTCTCAATAACTGCTTTCAACTTTACCTGATTTTATTATTATTTTAAATAAATATATTACAATTATTAAATAAAGATAAAATTAATAAACTTCTAATGTTCAGCACTAGCTTATAGGTAATATTATTTTGAGACATATTGGGATCGTAATTGATAATCGAAATACAATTAATGTCAAGTGGACGTCTTTGTATAATTTAACTCTGCAAAACAGTTTGGTACATCCCACCCTAAGATGAGACTTCTGAGAATAACATTGATTCCCATACATTGGGTCATGTAAATATAAGAAAGAGTTTCGGGATTCTTTCGTGTATAGCAGCCACCTGATTGCTACTAAGTTTTAATATTTGTAGAGGTAAACTAACGTCTAGCAGTGTCATAGTACGATGATAGATATAGTTAGGGTGAATTAGTTTGTTAGATAAGGTTATTTTCATGGTAGTTTTTTTTTTAATGAACATTGTTTTTAATGTTTAATCTAAGTCAAAATTACTTAATTAAATTATTTTTGGATTAAAACATTGAATAAAATCCAAGCCGTTGTTTTTTTATTCATTTGTTAAGTAACTTTTAACCTCGTCTATGTATGGAATACGTTAAAGCTTTTTGAAGACTTCTTGAGTCGTATTTGATTCGCATCGTCGTATATTGTGATATTATTCATACTATCTTAGGATTGTAGAATAGTTGCATTTGTAATATTCAACAAGTTGTCGAAAGGAGCAAGTTATTGTAGAAAGCAAATTACTCTGGTTCCTCGATTCCAGCAACAGTAGCTGCCTTTGGCTGAATTAGCAATGTCCTGAATTCTAAGCTCGCCTTAGGAATGTTGCATGCCATAACAGGACAGTGGTCAAGAGCAAAGCTCTTTAGTCTTTGCAGAATTTTGGTTTGGCTTTCGGGCATACCGTAAAGTATGCTTTGTACATTTGGGAGAAATTCCAGTACCTGAAACTTAGTTGCATTATCTGTTGATGATTCACATATAAACCGGAATCAATTATCTATTGTTGATTATGTTACATTCTATTATATAAGCTATCAAAATTACATATATAGTTGGAAAAGTATATGTAAATACTTTTATTCCGATTAATTCTTTAATAATAATTGTTAGATGCAATTCAAGAATGACTAGTTATTATTTTTTAATTATTGAAAGAAAAAAAAGAATATTTTGTCAACTATTTTAGGCATGATTAGGATTATTGATAAAATTTAGCACATTTACTTTTTTTTTCTCATTTACAGCATATAAAGACTATTGAACCGGATATTTAGAGTAAAAGTAAGTTTTGGATTGTTGAAATGCCAAGTTAAAAAGAAAATTTTACAGATATCCATTAAAATGTTCGAATACAACTATAAATAGTGAGCACAAAGAATTATCCAGTTTATGTATTTATTATATATAGATATTGCATATATTCAAGGATAGGACAGATCAACCCTGTGTTCGATGCTTCTGGTATCCGTTCCTTCTCCCATACCTTCCGGAATATATATATTCTGTTTCTTTTATATTTCTATGAGTAAAAAATAATTAAATTGTACTAAAGTCTTGACCCATTTCCATTGAACGTTGTCAAGGAAAGAATCCTATTATCAAATTTAAAGATAAAAATATTTATACAAAATTTTAACATCAGTAGTGATTGTAATAAAAAACGAAGAAACTACAATACCCGATGAAAAATAACGGATCTACCTAATTATGATCGGAAAAATCAAGTTTTGGACCACTGTGTGACGAGTTGTAAATTAGAGTTCCGAGAATTATCTTGGAGTCTCTTGAGTCTTTGGCGCCACACTGAAAATAAGTCAGCCAAGAGGACTCGTAGGAAATCTGCAGACTTACGAATATTTTTTTTTTTAATTTACTTTCTGAATGAAACTCTCGAAATGTAAGATTTCCAGTATTAGTGGTCTTGATTCTTTTTTTTCTTGGTCGTTTACAAGGATTTATTATTTACGATAATGTACCAAATGTACACATTAAATTACGGAATTATTAAACAAATTGTATTCAAAAATTAGTGCTACAATTTGTCAAAACAGAATACACTTGCGTGCTTGTCATTAGTACCTTGAAGCATATCAAATTAGTTTAACTGATGTCTCTGTCCCCTTTGCGTGTATACCTAAAATTATTTGGTGATATATCAATACGATTATTATCGATAACTTTATTCTATTTTCAAAATAAATATCGTATGATTCCATAGATAAATTCCTCATAAAAATATTTAGGACGCGTTTTTATTAATTTTGTTATAAAAATAATTAGGAATATTTCGCCTATACATGTATAATTGCAATATAATTATTTATAGTCTAGTAAATCTTATTTTGGATATTTTAGTTATTCGTACGTTTTTTATATTGTTTCGTTTTAATTATAACCTGCATCGCCAATTAGTAATATTTAGCCCTCACGCGCGATGTCAGAGATAAGAGGAACGCATGCTTCCCGGCAGTACGATGTCCAAGGGGGTACGCGGAGCACTGTCTCCCATCCTCACCATGTCCATGGCCTTCGGGGCCTTCGTCATGAGAGCTCGAGGACGGACCTACGTCTTCTCTTCTAAACTGAATTCTTACTTTATCCTTCTTTGTCTAGGAGCCATGACCGAGGGCATTATTGAATCATTAAAACTGAGCTCAGAATATACCATTTCACTAACCCTGATTATCGACTTTTTCGTTTTCTCTTTTTACATATTTACAGCCATGATTGTTCTTTACCAACATTACCATCTCCGAGAGTCACTCCCAGCTATAATTTCAGAGCTAGAGGACATGGACCAACTTATAGGGAATGTCTCTTACCGTGGGTATCACAACTACCGAATGGTTGTTCTATCCATATTGAATGCCTTGCCTAGAGTGTTCGAAGTCTTCCACAAACCTTTTACTTGGAACCTTCTCCTCTCGCGATCATTATATTTCTCCTTTTGCATCATACCTGTTTTGATTTCTGGGCAGTACTCTATTCTCTTGCACATTATCAGTCGGCAACTTCAGACTCTCTCGGAGAAACTTAATAAAGCCGCATTCTGCCTCGAAGTCATGAGTTTGATAGATGTTCACCACAATCTCGTTTTGTTAGCGAACCGAATCAATAGAGCTTTCGACATATTTCTCTTCCATCTGATCACCTTCATCTTCGTAATCAACACCCTCAAACTATATTTTATGATAGTATATATCGTGAAACCCGATTCCTACATCGACATCGCTTTGACGATAACCTCGGTTTTGGACTTCGTCGTCAACTACGGATCCTTGATTACAGTAATTTTCGCAGCAATGGACGCAACTAAGACAGTAAGGAATCTATTTTTAAAATATAAATGAATCTGCTTAATGAGTTTATTTGGGTAAAGTCTGTGGATACAGTGTAATACATAGCCATCATTACTGAATAAATGGAATTTCCAAAACTTTTTTTTTTTAATTTTAATAAAGAAAAAAAAATATATCAGAATGAGAAACCTAGGATTTTTTCCCAGGGTACTTAATTTTTCTATCTCTTCCTTCAATCCGAATTCTAATATAAGTCAAATACTCAGTCAATATACTACGAAATAAATATTATCAGCTCATAACAATATTAAATTTTATTAACTAAATTGGTTCAAAAATAATTAAACCAAGTAACAAATGCTTATTTTTTAATTTATTCAATAATAAACATTTTTCGCTCTTCCTCAATCCGGCCATGAACTATATATGGATTAGTGTCATGTTTACTCACAACGTATATTCGCATACAATATACAATATACATTGTGAGTAAACATGACACTAATTTAACATGCCAGGTTTTAGTAATTTAAATATTACTAGCTCTACCCGGCCACGTGCTGCTGTGGCTTAGTCAGGCAAAATGAAAAAGTAATAAAACAGAAAGCACATATGAGTAGATTAGTAGCAAAGGACATATATCATTTTTAAAAAGTTGGGAAACAAATTTGTCTGTAAAATGGCTTCAATTTAAACTAATTCTAATGATTTTTTTTCTCATGATTCAAATTGAACATTCATAATCATCTGAGTGAATACGCCGTCATTCATAATCATCAGAAACGGGCTGAGTTGAACTTATAAAAGTAAATTAAAAAAAAAAGTATAATAATATTGACCTACATAAGGTCACATAACGTCACATCTTGAAGAAGAATCACATAACTTCTTCAAATGATAATTTCATTTACTGTAGTAATTATAAAATTTTCGATTAAAAAATGCTTGCCGCCCTTCGGTAGTGAGGAAGCAAAAGGCCTTTTCTGAAGAGAAAGCAGTAAATGTTTAAAACTCTATAACTCTGCAACGAAACGTCCGATTTCGATAATTTTGTTTTTATTTTGTCAGCAATTCAGAAACCTTTCATATAAATGTGGGTATTAGCAATAAAAAATTGAGTACTTTTTTAGTTATCGGCAAATTGAATATTGAATTCATCGTAACAGTTTTCAGCTTGTTTTCGGGAAAGTATGTTATACACATAAATTAAAAGGGTTTCAAGTGGAAGACTTTAGCCAAGTTTCGTTAAAATCGGTAAAGCCGTTTTGGCGCTACAGTTTATAGCGACACATTTTTTTGCGGCTTTGAATAGAAAAACATTTACATTTTTATTTTTTTTTTGCATATATAAAATTATCGTAAGACAGAAGTACTATGCCAGAAACCTTCCCAGGAGTGTACGGAGCAACTTCCCAAAGTTTCATGGCGATCGGATGAATGGTTTAGTAATGCACAAAGGACAAACAGACGGATGGACAGACATAAATTCATTTTTATATGTATAGATTATATTTCCAGACAAGCTTTTGTAATGTTTACATATATTTTGTATCTGTCGTGAATATAATATCGGCCCCTTTTTTTTTAATTATAAATGCATCAATAAAATTTAAAAGTTATAGAACACAGTACATTTAGTAATATTATTATTTTTTTTTTTTACAGACATAAACTAGAAACTATAAATCCTAACTTTTTAAATTTCAGTCATAAGATTAGTTGCTGTTTAAAGCCATCAATTTCTTTGGAAACTAAATTTTAAATGTTTGACTTATGAAATGGTCGCCTGCTTTTAACGCGCTGACAATTTTATACTAGTGTTGGTCATTTTTTACTAAATATTTCAATTAATATATACATTTATGTATATTTATATTATATTATTGTCTTCTATACCTTTATTTTTCTATAATTTGTTCATGGAAAGTAATCTTTAGGCTCATATTTTCTGCAATTAAGATTTCGAAAGATAGTATGCAGGTAAGAAGCATTAACAATTTATATGAGTGACTTTACAATAACAATTAAATTTATACAGAAAATATTAAATGCACTGTAACCGCTATAAATTAAATTATTATTTAATAAATAGAAAATCAATACAAGACAAGGCATTGGTTGAGCCTAAACTTAATATGAGGATACAAAAGTTGCCAAGAGAGGTGTTGAAAATATCAAAGGGCCGCTAGCCTGAGAATCACATGGAAGGTCGCTACGGATCTGTGAGATCCACATCAATAAATCAATTTATTGATCATAAATACCAGAAACAAGTTCTCATTGTGCTAAAGGAAAAAGATATAAGATAAGTTTTAAAATATATTCATTGAGTAAAACACGGTTACATAAATTAAAAAAAATATTAAAAATCAAAACAAAAAATAACTGCACCAAATTAGGAACTTGGTCATTAAATTCTGTATACTATTAAATACGAATACAAAAATCACTGATTAAATGGAACAACTATAATAGGATTAAATTGGATACAGAAATAATTAATACAAACATCATCACAACATATACATCAGTCTCTATAGGCTTCCGATTTCACATTCCTAATCACTTCTGCACCAACTGGAGAGCGGTCGTTTCTGAAAAAAAAAAAAAAATATATATATATATATATATATATCCCCGGACAGGTGCCGGTCGGTCTATTTCTTTACGTTGTTGACGGTGTTTTTGGGTCGTCAAATCTTAGAGATGGAAGTAAAAATCGAAACCTTCGTACAGTCATAGTGGGACGAAATATTTCGATTCCAAACTCGAAATCAATTGTGCCACTTGAATCCCACAAATCATACAGGTTTTTTTCTCACTGCTTAATGCATACCTGTAATATATAACAGCAGAATAAAGGCTTTGATTTAAATTATGTCAGTTGCCACTGCATCCCTTTCCCCTCAAAATTTTCTACATACGCCGTTAATTCACAAGCGTTAGTAGAAAAATGGACGCAACACTAGTCACCTCACTACTGTTGTAAGACTCCAAGAACCACTAGAATACGTGGAGACAGAGTTCTCCTCTCCCAAGCGGTATAAAAATTCATCAAGGATACCGCTCGATGAATCTCGTAGATCCGGTGCGACCTTCGGAGTGTTAAATTTGTTTTGAATTGAAAAAAAATTTCAATTTTATTATTTATTTCACAATAAGCTGATAAAATAAAATAATATAAACTTCAATACTAAATTTAAAAAAATGGTGCCAATTTTTTCGGACTTCAGTTTCCAACTTAGCCCACATGAAAAAAGAAATAAATCAGAAAAAATTACTCTACACATTCTTTGAGGTCTTGATGAACTTAAGTAATTATGAAAATAATTAATGGAATTTACAAATAATAATATCAAATACCTAAACGCATGTTATTTAAACAGAAAATTGTGTATTCATGATATCATCAATTTAACATTTTAGAAAACGCAAAATTCACATGAAATAATTATAACGGTGGCTTGCGAACAGCAGTGCAATCATCCATGATCAGAAACAACAACAATGACTTCGATACCGTATGGCTGGTAGTCACGGAACCAACTCAATTGGTGTTGGCATGTCGATCAGTAATGGGAGGAAATAGGTAGGGCTAGTCGGTTAGATATTGTAGCTTAATCCCATGAAATCGGTTTTACAGCAGTTATACTGTGGAGGTGCTTGTTTAATCTCATCTAGTTACTTTTATTATATTGGTATATTCTTAATAGAAATAAATAAATTGTTGCCTAATAATAATGACAGTGTTATTGCAATATCTCTACAATAATTTATCTCATATGAATTTACCTTATAATTTAAACTAAATTTCTGTGAGTTGCTTAAAATTACTAATAATTAATCAATATTCATGTGTAGATTGTCATTTAATATTTAAAGATTATGTTTATTTAATGTATTAAAAATGTATACAATTGTACTTTTAGCATGGCATTATCCATCATCCACTATTAAAATAAAGCTCACACGCGCGATGCTACAGATAAAAAGAACGCATAACACCCCGGCAGTACGATGGCTAACGGGGTAGATGATGCTCTGTCTCATATACTGGCTATCTCCAGGACTTTTGGGGTATTCGCGATGAAGGCTCAAGGACAGACTTACGTCTTTTCTGCCAAACTTCATGTCTACTTTATCGTTTTATCTATAGTGGCCATAGCCGAGGGCATATTTGAATCCTATGAAATAAGCTTGAAATATTCTGTATCATTGGCAATGATCATCGACATTTTCGTTTACTGCTTTTACATATTATCAGTCATATTAGTTTTCTTCCAACACTATTATCTCTGTGAGTCCCTGCCAGCTATAATTTCAGAGCTCAAATACATGAACACGCTTATAGACAAAATATCTTATAGTAGATATTACGATTATGGAGTATTTTTTCTATTTATACTGAATACCTTACCGAGGATTTTCGCTCTTATCCACAAACAGTTCACTTGGAATTTCCTCCTAATGACGATATCATATTTCTATATTACCATTGTACCTGTTTTGATTGTTGGGCAGTACGCTATTCTCCTTCACATAATTAGTCGCCAACTACAGGCCCTCGCTGAGCGACTTAATTCTGTTACATTTAATCTCGAAGTTTGCTGTCTGATAGATATCCATCACAGTCTAGTTCTTGTAGCCGAAAGGATCAATAGAGCATTCGACATATTTCTCTTCCATATGGTCAGCTTCTCTTTTGTCATAACTACTTTGAAACTATACATTGTGATCGTTTATATCGTTAAACCTGTTTCCTACACTAATATCGATGTTACAATGTATACATTCATTGATTTCCTGGTCCTCTATGGATCCATCATTATAATAGTGATCGCAGCGATGGAAGCATCGAAAAAAGTAAGATCATTCTTAAATTAATTTGGTTATTAAGTTTATGTGTGTGACTTAGTCTGAATGTAGTGTTTAATTGTTAAGGATAAAAAGGGGGAGGTTATTTAAATAGCATAATATCAAATCAGCATCCTTTTGAGTTACAATCTTATTAATCCGGACACTACGTTAAAGGTAAGCATCAAATTTTACACCGTGACAAGTTAACTTCGATGAACCGCAAACCCGTATTTAGTTTCTTCTCTTCTTGAAGTGAGGTATCAAATTGTTACTACTTAAAAAACTAAATAATAATACATTCAAATCGCTTCTATAATTAAGAGTTAATTTAAATAAAATGCCTAAATTAATATATTATTTCAAATTGATTATCGTTATATATATAAAGCTTTCAGTACCCCTCCAAAAATTAAATCCTGGATCCGCTAGTGTCTATAGTCGATATAATTATTGAATCATTTATATTCTGTTGATGATATATAATAAACTAATAAAACATGATTGAGTTTACTGCCTCATATAATAATTACATTTTCGGGTGTCCTTCTTTATAACGTTTGGTATATTAAAAATGCATACAAATGTACATCTAGCATGTCATTTCAAATCTAACCCCGGCAATTAGTAATTATGTTTTGTCACGCACGATATGACCGATAGTCCACCAGAGTCAACGTCTCCGGTACGATGGTGAAGGGAGTACACAATGCACTATCGCTAATCCAAGCTATGTCCAAGGCTTTTGGCGCCTTCACGATGAAGGCCAAAGGACAGACCTACGTTTTCTCTTGTAAACTCCTTGCTTACTTTATTTTCCTTACAGCTGGGTCTGTTACTGTAGGGATATTTGAAGTCTATACATATGAAAATTCCCATTCCCTATTAATGATTATCGAAATTTTCGTTTTCTGCTTTTATGCAGTAACAGCTATAATAGTTTTATACCTACACTTCAGCCTCCGAGAGTCCCTCCCTCCTATAATATCAGAGTTAGACGACGTTGACAAATTTATCGGCAATGTCTCTTACAATCGGCATTACAATTATGGAGTAATCTTCCTGTCTATACTAAATGTCATACCTGTAATATTCTCCCTTGTTTACAGGCCATTCTTTTGGTTTGACTTTCTCAGTTGGTTATTGTACTACTCCTTCACAATAACACCCGTTTTGATCGCTGGGCAATACGCAATTCTACTACATGTCCTCAGCCGCCAACTAAATATGCTCTCGGTTCAACTTAATACTGTTATATTTAAACTTAACGTTTGGATTCTGATAGATGTCCATCATAGCCTCGTTCTGTTGGCGGACAGAATCAATAGAGCTTACGACATATTTCTATTTTATATGATCACCTTCACATTCGTCATCAACATCATGAAATTATACCTTGTGATAGTTTATATAGTAAAACCTGTTCCCAACACAGATCTCGAACTGACTACGGTATCCTTTGTGGATTTTATTTTCAACTGTGGATGCATCATTATTATAGTTTCCGCCGCAATGGAGGCTACAAAGAATGTAAGAATTTAAATAACGCATATCCATATTTTCATTGATTTGTGTGTATATACTCCTAGAGCAATGAATCAAATTTAGATTAAAGAAAAGATTATCTCAAATCAATTCTAAATAAAAATTGTGCATTCTAGACATCTGTGTATTTCATTACAAAATAATTAATATATCAGTTGCATGTAAACCTAAAGGAGGTCGCTTTAGAATCTTGGATTTAACATCTCTTCCGATGGAATAGTTTTTATGATAATAAATCCATTACCATGTAATTCTATTTGATCTGATTATTCAATATATCAGATATTTAGATTTATATTGGACATACTTATTAGAATTAAAAGTAAATCTTCATTTCTAGTAAACAAAATAGTTCGGAAAGCAACTTATAATTAATTAAGTCAAAACATATTTATTACATTACTCATTTCAGATAACACAAATCTGAAAAACAAAATTTAGCAGCTTAGATATTGAAAACATTTATCACCCAATACACAATAATTTGCCTCATATTTTGGAATACTGTAATTTAATAATCTTTTTTGAATTTTAAGCATAATGTTATCTTAAGTTATTCACCTCTTAACTGTCAGCAGGAATTTTCGTTGGAAACTCAAGCAAGTAACTATGCAAGTAATGCAGATATAATTATGTTGTTATTGAATTGTTTAATTTTATCTAAGATAACATTAACTCTCAATGTACTTTTGTTATACAGTATTAATAGGAGGTATGTAGTTTAATTTACTCAACACGTCGTTCATCTTCAAATTTTCACACATTCTTTTTTGATAGTTTTTTTTTCCGGAAATTAGTGATTGAATGTATTGGTCTAAATTTTGGAGCGGATCCAAACTTTCTCCTTACAGAACATTAGGTTAAGATAAAACAAAAATTATGAAATGCTGACTTATAATAGTAAACAAAAAACAACAAAAATTTCTTTTATAACAATATTCGATTTTTTAAAAATTATTTTAAATAAGATATTGGAAACTAATTATGCATAGAAAAGTCGTTTGATTTGGAATATTTTATCTTTCATTTGGTATGTCATGACACCTTAGCTAAACAAGAATGAAAAAAAGTAATAATTTATTTTTTTAATGTTGTTATATTCCATATTTCGTAATATCTTCAATACTTCTTCATCTTTGTCGTTCTCACAATGCCATTTCTATCGTCGAGGAGCCTCTATCCAGAGCAGCCAATCTTCTCGGTCTCTGGTTACCCGCTTCATTTGGTTTTGGGTTCATTTGGTTTGGATTTGCCTCTTCTACCTCCGATCCTCCGCATGCAGTCGTGATATGAAACTCTGGGACTCCCTCTTGGTCTCTTCCCTGTGAGTCGAGCCTCTAATACCTTTATAGGGTCCATGTCCAAACCACATTAGTTGCTTGCTCTCCAACGGCAGCTGTGGATACTGCTAGCGATCTGGTAGTATGATTGATACGCCTAGGATATTCTATGCGAAATCTCAGCATCTATCATACCAGAGCCATTAATTAGAGTACCCAACTAGGTGTAATCCATCACTACTTCAAGAACTTCTCCGTTGCAAACCAATTGGACGTCTTGCTGTTCTTCTCTCGCCATAACCATTACTTTACTCTTGGAGCCATTTATTCGCATACTTTTCCTCAGCAGTTCTTCTTCCCATTCTACCAGTGCTTGCTGTAGTTTCAGATTTGAATCGGCGATGAGGAAAATGTCATCTGCATATAAAAAGTTCTGTAGGACTTCTCGTATTCCAGTTTCCAAACGCAATCCATGCAGTCCGACGCTTGCAGACTTTATGGATCTCGTCCATAAAGTTTATAAACAGGAGGGGGCTTAAACTATCTCCCTGTCTAATTTATCTCGTTATTGGGAAAGGTTCTGATTCTGTGCCATTTGTCCTTACCACTATCTTCAATAAATTTACAATTAATGCGGTGTATATCTGTATTTGTTTTAATGTATTAAATAAATAAAATGTATTATTATGTTTATTGGTAAAAATTGACTGACAAGGAAAAAATTAATTCTATATTGCAATAAAAAAATACAGACTAAGTATAATGCAGAATATGATTAGTTCTCAAGTTATTAGTTGTTATTTACCCAATACAAAGTAATATTCTGCAAAGTACTCATTGTTCGCAAAGAATATTGTATTATTTTTTTATATTTTAGTAAAAACTAAGTGAATTATAGAAATAAACCAAAAATACTATGAAAGATATTAATTGTTGGCCAATATCTTGATTCCTCTAAAAGTTTTATGATAATATTTTTTTTTTCCATAAAGTCGGCCCAAGATTCCCACTGAAGTCCTATACTGATGATAAACTTAAGTTTTAGATTAGCACGTTGGTGAGAAGATTTTTTTTACAGGAAGTTTCATTTGTCTTAACTTCATTTGTCTACATCTAATTCATATATATATATTTCTACAATAATTTCTTGATTAACTTACTATATTTTGTTGTTTCAATGGTATATTTTAAGGTTTATCTGTTTGATTCTATTTATTAAATCTTTCTTAATGCTTATATTTCAATTGTATATAGCTTTAAAAATTTTAATTTCTTTCTAATTCTTGTGGGAACAAAGTAGTATTGAAGAGTGACCTACTGCTATTTATCAGACCCCTAATAATGATTAAATCGCCTATCACGTTTCTAAAACTTGTAAATCACAACACTAAAATATTGAGAAGACAGGAAAAAATACGTTAAGAATGATATTTTCTGTATAATTTTTATTAGCAATATTTTGATAAAAAGGAAAAAATTCTCGCAATCTGGAATCGATATAATTTGAGTAAACTGCGCTTCGGATAAAAAGAAAATTAATTTTTCCATGACAGTTTTGACTTATTTACAATTTAGTTAAATTAGTTGTATATTGTTAACAAACAATGTGATCAGTACAATGTATAATATAGAGTTTATCTATATTAAAAACTATCTAATCCACAAATATGGTCCCAAAGATTATACAGCGAATGCAGACATGACTTGGCAATTTCTTGCTGGTGGCAATGCATGTCATTGGTCTGAACCTCTTCAAGAATATAAAAACTTGCGTGATACGGAATTATTGTTACGTATTTATGAATGCATGTGTGTTTTAGTGATATTTATTTATACACACTTTTTTTTTTTCAGGCAGGAATCTTTAATGCCCAACTTCTGAAAAATCTTCTGATCAGTAAAACTATCGCCAAGGATGTAATTATATATTTTATGTTATTATTACTAGATAATAATTGAATGTTCAAAATATAACAGCCAATTGAAAGGAATATATAGCAACTAAACATAAAATATTCGACGTTTAACGTACCTATATGTTATCTTTGGAATTTATTATTGTGGATAATTACACTATTATATTTTTTATTATATTAAAATTTAAAAAAAATACTACTATATTCTATCAATATACCAACTTTAAATTTATATTAGATTCAAAAAATAAATTAGTTTTTAGTTTAGTAACTTGGTGAGAAGCATATAAATATATATAATGTAAAATATCCTCTCTAGATAATTTCATACATACTATATAACTTAAACCATTATTATTGATTTTTTCTGATTCATAATAACAAATTTCATAAATTAAAATACGCTATTTAAAGTAATAAGCTCAGTTGATAACTTCAAAATATTTGGAATATCTATTTAATGCGTTTAAATTTAATAGGTAGATTATGTAACGCAAATTTCATACTACATGAATAAAATTTTACTTTTTAATTGGAAAGTTGATAATTAAGCTTTAAAGGAAAACTAAATCATCGAAATATCAAAAAATAATTAAAAAATCTGAATTTGAAAGCTGTTAGAATATTTTCATTATTGTTTTATAGAAATATTTTTAAATAAAACATTGGTTTGATTTTTCTATACATTAATAAGGTTGTGTAGCTGCTAATATAAGGTGTATTAATTTTACAGGAAAAAATACGAACATATCTGGCAATGAAGCATTCAATAAAACAGAGTGCTTGTAATTTTTTCTCACTAGATTACAATCTCCTCACTTCTGTAAGTATACAAAAATTATCTCAATTAAACTAAATACCAAAATTAGATAAGCGTGAGCTTCCATCCGGTGTCCAATTCTGGTCCTCTTTCGGTTGCAAAGCTTTTGAATTTTCGCGGTCAATGGGACCAGTAAGGAAAAAATCACATCGTATAATTTTTTTAGAATTCTAAGAATAAACCGTTTTATCGATACCTTCTAGAATTCATGAAAATATTTTCAGTTGACAGAAAATACATGTTTCACTGTTTTCAATAAATTCAATCACTGTTTCAAAAAAATTCAATTATGTAGAATTGCTTGCTTTGAACAAAGTTTTTTTTCACGAAGATTTACTTTCGTCTGTTTTTAACAAAACTGTGTTTTTAATTCATTATTTACAAAGCTGTGATTTATTTAAACAAAAAAAACCTCCAATATCCTTCAGAAAATTGATTTTTTTATTGATTTTTTTTTAATACTTTTAGGAGGCATTGGTAAAGAGAAATTCTTTATAATTTTAACTGCTATGATCTGCCTATCGGTAATTAAAAATATTTAATATTATTTTTGTATGTATGAATTAGGGCTTGAAATCGATAATTACAAAAATAAAATAAAAATAAAATCTTATCTATATTTTTATCTGGAATATTTAAAAATCAGTTGATGATTTTTATTAAGAGCGATTTTTGTTTTGTATTATAAGTGATAACAATCATATCCTGATCGTTATTTTGGACAATTTTTTTACAATTAAAAATAATAATAAATCTTAAATGGTAATTTTTAAATCAGAAATATAATTTTTTATAACACCGAGGATATATATCGATTCTGGAATAGTAGATCGAGTATAGTATTGTCAACTATCAGCAATAGAACATCTTTAATGTCGAAATTCATTCGAAAATATGCTTTGCAATATATATATATAATTAAGGCGATTTCAGAGTTCCCTTCTTGAGTTGAATTTAGTAGATTGTTAGGTGAGGGAAATCCTCATTCAGATTCTTTTGAGCCTCCGAAGCGTGTTGTCAGGCATAGTAATCGTGGTCATGCATGAGTCTGTTACTATGTCCATGTAAGTTATCGTGAAATTGTTTCTGTATATGGTCATTATATTTTTCCATATTCAAAGTAATGTTTTTGAAGTTCCATCATTATTTTATTTAAAATATCGTTATTTATAATCAAATAAATAAACATCAAAGGTCGATTTAATTTTTTAAATTATAAATGAGGCATGGGTTTTAAATAAAAAATCAAATATAATAATTATTTTATGACTTTGTGGAAAATGTAATTATCAATTTCAAACCCTGGTAGAAATTTAAAATTTTAAGTATAAATTTAGGGTTTATATGATTATTAATTTAAGGTATAAATGATTAAGAATTAGGAATTGAAAAAGTAAGGTTTTTTATTCATTTATTTCGAAAAATACCTCAAACAAAACTAATGAAAAAATTATATTTAATATATAATCATCTTTTTTGTTTAAATTGTTTTAAAATTTTAATTTTGTTTACCTAGATAAGAAATAAACATTTATATCATCCGGTTAACTGTATATAACCATCGTTTATTTTGTCCTAATCTAAATAAATAAAGAAACACAACAGCATTGAATGAACAAAAGTTTAAAATAAAATAGAAGGTTGGATCAATTGGGGTACCCGTATAAGTTGGCCTCAAGAGAAAAATAAAACAAAAAAACAACTTCCATTTACTTGTTGATCTAATATTACTCTCTGTTAGTAATAAAATATAATATTTTCAATATATAACCCTTATTCTTTTTAAATATCATTATAATTTCATAATGATAAATAAGGGGCAACTTTAATCTTTGAGTATTTGGTTGAATCTTTATGTATTGATCTGTATCTTTAAAATTAATAAATAAAATATGTATTCTTTTTCATCGAAAAATGTAAAGAAGTATCGATTGTGTTTAAAATATCATTAACGATGGTGTTATTGTAACAAAAATTGTAAAAAAAAATTTTCATAAGATTTATTGTAAAATGAATATTTATAATAGTTAAACGATACATTTTTTTAGTTATTACATATAAATATATTATAACTGTATTTATTGTTTTTAACATAAAAAAATATTTATAAAAATAACGATTATAAATAGCGATATAGACAGTATTTATAAATAGTTATACAAAATTATCAAGCGTTTCCAGAGGTCTTTATCATTTTCGAACTTAATTTATTTTCTACTTAAAATGTTCCCCAGTTTAATAAAAAATAACCGGAATTTCCTGTGTTTTGTGGAAATTTTCTTACTTTGTCATCATATTCGTGTACTGAAAATATAAGTTCTAAGCCAATGCCCACGAAAACCCATCATTCGTCCAACTGTGCATCAAAAGTAACTCTCTTTCTCTCTTAGTGTACAGTAACTATTTTTTCCTCATTTTCCATTTTCCTCATACTAGAATATCTCTACGGTATATTTGTCATTATATTATTACATAATACAAATATGTTACCTTAACAATGGCTCTTCCACAATTTATACATTGAAACAATCTATGATAGCACACAATGACTGTAAAGAAATCAGTCAAAGGCTATTTTTCTTTTATAAATATTTAAATGATTTCCCATTGTGAAAAATGTGCATATGTGAATAGTTGTAATTGTAAAAATTCTAAAAGTCTCAAATTCTAAAATCTCTTTTTATAAAGTTTGAGTTGAAATAAAATTTTGTTTATTTCAAATAAAAAGTACTCAAAATTATTTATTTTTTTTAATCTAGGAATCAATTATTACGGTTATTTCAGTTCAAAACAATCCAAACTCCTCAGGTGGAAGGATGTTAGGTAATCAGTCAAAAGTTATTTTTATTTTATAAATATTTAATTGATTTCACATTGTTAAAATGTTCATATGTGAACATTTTTAATTGTAAAAAGTCTACAAAGAGGTTTTAGAATTTCAGACTTTGACTTGAGTTTAGGCTTTTTTAGTTGAGTACTCTGAAATTGAAATAAACCAACTTTTATTTCAACATAAATATTTTAGAATAAGATACTTTTAAAGTTTGTGTTAAAATTAAACTTAGTTTGTTTCAATTTCAGGTTAATCAACTTTATTTTATTTGAACCTATTAAGGACCAAATATAACGGTTTGTTATATATTCACCGTAATCCGAACAATGACCTTTCATTATGACAGAAATTTTACAAATTTTCTTTTTGTTTCATTATATTATATATAAATGATATTCCATATATAATAAAATATACCCAAAACAAAAATAAATAAAAAGACAATTTAAAAACTGTCATAGAAAAAAAATTTTCGACTAATTAATTATATGTTTATAACTAATTTAAAAAAAAATAATATTAACTTACATATAGTATTTTTGAATTTCAGATGGCAGCAGGCACCACGACGTATGTGATACTTCTCGTACAGTTCACCCTACTGTAATTCTTAATATAACGTATACAATTCGGATTTAGATTAAGTATGTAGATAAATTTCATTCTGGCAGAATATTGATCAATAGATAGACTAAGCATCTGTGCAAAAATAAAACATTAATTGATATGAAATTGGTATCCATTAAAATTGAATCATTAATGATAGAAATGTAATATAAAATTATGTAAGTGATGAAAAAGTAGTCTCCTTTTACTAGTAAAGATACACATTTCTCGTTTTGCATTTATTAATTTATGTTCAAATTATATAAAACAAGAAATATAGAATTAAGGCAGAAATAATATATATTTGTACATAGTTAATATTTTCATAGCTTTTTATTTGTGAATATGTATATATTAAATATCATCTCATTAAAAAATATGCTCTATTTTGTCAGGTAATCTATTAATTTTGTAATTTTTACAAAAACTATGTATCATTCATGAAAAATACTAGTTCATTTAATTAACTACAAGCTACTTAATGTAACTTAGTATTTTAGTACGTATAGCAACATTTTCAAGAGAATGTATAGAAAATAATATTTTTATTCTTATTCATTAAGCAGTGAAGAGGAACTATATCTTGGTGATGATTATTTTCTTTACACATTGATTAATATAATTAACACTATAGTTACTATTTAAATTAGCTTATTTTGTAATACGACCTACTTCTGTATCTGTTATTTTTTTATGACTTGATATATGTACAGTATTATAAACTCATATTAACATATTCATACAATGAGATATACAAAATAAAAAATTATCTTTAAACTAAATACTGTAAATTAATGGGTAAATCAATAAACATCTAAAACGTAATCTACTATATCACGAAAAGGTTGGTATTGAATCTGAAGCTGAGTTAAGATATAAACATATTTTGGGGGGGGGGGAGGCGTTCATAAATGGGCTAAATAGTGGTAAAACTATTTTATTAAAAGCCAACGTTTCGACCCGACTTTGCAGGTCTTCTTCAGGACTAGAACGGACAAGATACAAAAAGATATAGAGAATTGTGCAAGTTACATAATATTTAGACAAAAAATTATAAACAGTGTGATAAGCTTATTAAAATTATAAACAGTAAGTACATTAAATGTAAACAGAGTTAGCTACGTAACAAGACCTTAACTGAAGTAAATAGATGGTTACAATTGTTCTAGTGTAATATATAATATATACAAATGTGAATATACTTCTACAGATCTACAGGAGAGATTGAAAGAAACGGAAAAAGGATATAATATGAAATAATAGGCATAAAGGAATGTGTAGAAAGATTAAAAAATAATAAAATAAAATAAATAAGTAAATATAATTAGAAAAATAAAAGTAGAGACTTACAAGTGTGTTCACCTTGGAGTTTCACTTAGAGCTGGAAAATCAGAATAAGGGTAGGTATTGGGGAAATTTGCTGACCTGTTTATGTAATGGGAAAAAACCTACAAAATTACAGTATCTAAAATTTATAAGGTATGGATGGATACAACGGAAAAATACTATATCTATGAAATAATAAATTATAAATATATACATATACATATAAAATAGAATTAAGAAAATATAGATTAGAGTACAATGTGAATAAAAACAAAAATTGGAAGAAGTAAAACGTACATTGAAGTAAAATATAAATATAGAAATAAGAGTACAAATCCTAGCTGATCACAACTGTAACTCTCTATTTTATTATTCTAATTTTAATTATTTTTTTGTTTTATTTTTTTGTTTTATTTTTTTCGTTCCTATTTCTACATTCCTTTATGTCTATTATTTCATATTATATATTTCTTTTTCTTTTCTTTTAATCTCTCCTCTAGATCTGTTAAAGTATATTCACATTTCCATATATTATATATTACACTACAACAATTGTTATCATATATTTACTTCAGTTAACGATCTTGTTACTTAGCTTACACTGTGTACATTTTAATGTACTTACTGTTTATAATTTTAATAAGCTTATTCACATTATTTATAATTGTTTGTCTAAAGATTATGTAACTTCCGCAATTCTCTATACCTTTTTGTATCTTGTCCATTCTAGCCCTGAAGAATATAATAATAATAAATTTATTTATTGAGCAATTTTACAAATGTGATGTTCGTTAGCGAACCTCCTCTCCGGGATTAGCGTGAATGCGTGATTGGAGAAGCCTCCCAGTGAAGGCACTCCTAATGTGACTCTTAATGCATCAAATTCCTACTCCAGAGGCTTTTGAGTCTCCTTGGTGGATTCTGTGGTAGTGTGTCTGTTAGTAATGTTTGCACAAGTGGATTAGGATGTCGAGCTAGGGAGTCATGAAAGTTTTTGTAATATTTTTTTAATTACATCAGTCACTTGTGGTGTTTATAGGTTTTTATGAAGTGATGTATTGGTTATGTAGAAGTGACAATGAGTGATATAACGGAGAAATTTTGATTGGAAAATTTGAATAGTCTGTAAGTGTGTTTTTTTGCATGAATCCCACACCTGAGAGGCATACGTCCATATTGGTCTGAGTAGCATGTTGTATATAGTAATTTTGTTAGAAAGTGATAGTTAGTTTTTATGATGTAGCATTCGTCTTAGTAATGACAATCGATGGTTCAATCTCTTTTTTAATGTAGTCACGTGTGAATTCCAGGTCAGTCGTCTGTCCATTGTGAGTCCCAGATATTTTGTCTCTGTATGATTTGGCAAAAGGGTATTGTAAAGTGTCAGTGGAGGGCAATCCGAACGTTTAAGTGTAAATGTAACCTGATTTGATTTTTTAATTTTAATTTTTATGCGCCATTTATCAAGCCAGTCTTGTAGAATATTTAAATGAATCTGTGCTTTCTGAGATGCTGTGATCGGATTAGAGTCAGTCGAGAGTATTACAGTGTCGTCTGCGTAAGTTGCGAGTAATGAGTCTGGTGTCTGTGGAATATCAGAAGATTAAATTGAGTACAGAACCTAAAATACTGCCCTGCGGTACTCCCGCGCCGATTCGGCAATAGTCGGAGTATTTACCATCCTGGTTAACAATAAAAAATCTATCCTCAAGATACGATCTGATGATTAAATAGTATGTATGTGGAAAGATCGGTTTAATTTTACAAAGTAGACCATCATGCCACACTTTATCAAAGGCTTGTGAGACGTCTAAGAAAGCTGTTGTGCAAAATTCCTTCTTTTCCAATGCCACAGCAATTGTATCAATCACTCTATGACATTGTTGTATGGTAGAGTATGCAGATCTAAATCCAAATTGATGATTGGGAATAACAGGGTTTGTTTCTAAATATGGATAGAGCCGTTTTAATAATAATTTTTCATATATTTTGAAAAATAAGGGTAAAAGACTGATAGGCCTATAGGACGTGACTTGGTCTAAAGGTTTGCTTGGTTTTGGTATCATTTTTATGATTGAAAATTTCCATACTAGAGGAAAGTAAGTAAGTCGAAGGATAGAATTGTAAATACCTGTCAGGAAGATTAATGCTTTTTTGGGTAGAAGTCGGACAATTTTAGGTGTGATTAGGTCAAAACCAGGAGATTTTCTTCGAGGTAATTTTTTAATACAAAATTCTATATCCGAAGGAGTTATAGGGGAAGGAGGTAGAGAAAGGGGAGGAGGAGAAATGAGGATTTGATGGACGTCTGAGCAGTGCTGTTGGTCAGGCAAGTCTTCATGTAGATGAAATACATCTGTAAGATGAGTAGCAAATAAGTCTGCTTTCTCTTTATCGCTTCTAGCCCATGAGTTGTCTGGTTTACGGAGAGGAGTCTTTGTTTGGTGGTGCCCTAGTATCCTTCGGGTTTGTTGCCAGAGAGTATTGTTACTTGTCTGTAAGGTGGTCAGATGTTTTTTGCAAGTTTCCTGTTTGTATTGTTGTATAAGTTTTCGAAGTTTGTTAGAAAGTGCGTTTAGTATCTGTTTGTCACTGGGATGGCGAGATCTTTTCCATTGGTTGAGAGCACGTCGTTTTTCAATTGGAAGTGATCGTATTTCCGGGGGTAAGTGATGTTTGTCGCGGTTGGTCTCGTACTTGTTTGCAGATTGTCAAGCGGCAGTTTGTACAGTCTTAGTAAACGTCTTTACTGCATTGTCAATATCATTTTCCGTCCTTAATCTTCTGTTTAGATTAATTGTCTCATTAATAATGGAATGAAATTTATAAATTAATATTGCCCCAGGAGTTAGTGTAGGTGTGTGGTTGGTAGTAAACATGTGTCTAGAGAGAGATAAAATAACCGCTGAATGGTCTGATGATAAGTCGGTACTAATAGAGATATGATGGTGTAGTGTGTGTAGGCTAGAAGTTATAAAGAAATCAAGTAATTCTGGTTGACGGTTTATGTCTGTCGGCCAGTACGTCGGTTCAGGTGGTAGTATGCAGTTATAATCCAGTTCTATACATGTATTAAAAAGAGAGTTTCCTCTAGAATTATTGGTCCTATTGCTGAAACGGGGATGTTTGACGTTAAAATCTTCTCCACATAAGAATTTAGGTCCTAAGCTGCCAAGTATGTCTGTAAACGTTTCCTGTGAAACTCTTTGTCTCGGAGGACAATATGCACTGGCAATAGAAATTTCGGTGTGATCGATTTCAACCGAAATAGTTGATAATTGAATTTCTGGTAAGGCAGTCATTTGAAGAGAAAAGTGGTATAATGTTCGTTTTACGACTATTGCTGAGCCGCCACGGGCAGTACCGCTGGGATGGTCAGCACGGTTCACTACATACCCTTGTATGTAAAATGTTGTAGTTTGAGTAAAATGAGTTTCTGTTAGTAATGCAATGTTAATGTCATTTTCATGTAAATAAATGTCAAGTTCATTCCATCGGTGTAGGGCTCCATTTGAATTCCAAAGAAGGATTTTTAGAGTGTGTTGTGAGATAAAATTAGGAACTAACATGAGGAATAAATTTGGTAATTAGCGTGGTGAGAAGAGTGATGAGCGGAGTAATCATAGATTTAAAATCATTTAAGAAGGAATTAAAATATAATGAGAGATCTGGAGTATTAGGTAGTGTATTAGATGTTATGTGATGAGATCTTGAGTATGAGGTTGATGTGTATTGATGCGGTATGTATTGAGATTGTGTATAATGTGGTAATGAACGGTCAGGGATTATCCTCGTTTGGTTTATTGAGTGCTGAGGAGTTATACTTGTAGTATGAGGAGTAGAGTATTGAGGAGATATATTTGAAGTTTGAGGATCTATAATTTGAGGAGTCGTATGA